ATCGAAGGAAGCCGATTTTTAAGTACTTGTATAGGAAACATTCGCGGTAGGCAGCGGCTTAGTTCTGCCCCTGACATTGCTGAAGTCCATGGGCAACGGTAACCACTCACCATCAGGTGGGCCGAATGCTTGTCTGCCTACAAGGGCAATAAAAAAAAACATTGAAATCTTAATAGTATATTTCGAAAAATGTATTCCACACTTATTTGACTTCTAGTTAGACATGGATCCGCGCAGTTATAATTAGCTGTGTCCGTGCCTACCCTAGTTGCGTGCAAACACGCGCTCTGTACACTCACCTAGACCAAGAGCTAGAGAACTTCGTTTAACGAAAACCAAAATAATTCTGCTCATACATTTATTAATTCCGGTAGATCTTTACGGGATCGAGTCACGATCGATCTTTACGAGTCATAAAACATTACTCGATATCGATAAAGGGATGCCACTCGGGTTCAGCTAGTCAGACGACGTGGTCGTTGATGACTGGTACATGTAAATTGTAGGTTGCAGGTGTTTGTAAGAACCATGTTAATTATCATTAGATAAACGTGACGCGAACCGTGGAAGCATTATTCGATAACTTATCTTTGTTAAATTTAAAGGGTGATATGAACGCCCAAACTTGTTCGGTTATTCATAATGTTTTTACTGCTTCGATTGGCGGACGAGCTCACAGCCCACCTGGTGTTAAGCGGTTACTGGAGCCCATAGACATCTGCAACGTAAATGCGCCACCCATCTTGAGATATAAGTTCTAAGGTCTCAGTATAGTTACAACGGCTGCTGCACCCTTCAAATCGAAACGCATTGCTGCTTCACGGCAAAAATTGGCAGGGCGGTGGTACCTACCCGTACGGACTCATGATAGGTCCTAACACCGGTAAATGTGTTGATAGTTTTAACGAATTGAAAATATTCGGAAAAAATATATTTTTTAAATTTAAATAAATATTTTTTTTGTGTAATTCTGTTGTTTTAAGTTTTATACACCCAACACTAGAAGTGTACCGAGAGGGCTTGTGGGAGAGATGTGCTCCTTGACTAAACGCTCCACTCTCCCCCCTTTGCCTTTTCACGAGTTCTGTCTCATGAGAGGCTCGGACGTGGGTTGTTGAGTGACAGGAGGTTTTAGTCGGTTCGACTCCGACATGCCCCACTCTCCATCCCCAGTGGAGGGTGGGAGTCCGGCAATTTCCTCCTGACCAAAAAAAAAACACTTGAAGTGTATAGTGCGTCTTTACTCTCTAGATTTTCTTTGAACTAGACTGCGAACGAACGTAATGTACTACAGAAAGGCGAGCACGAATGACTATCGAAAAAGTATTCGTATCGCTATCGAGAAAAAATATATAGGATCTAAACAGCGCTCCCTACATACCGTCCGTAAAAAGAATTAATTTCAGCAGCACGAATGACTTTACTTACTGTCGTTTCGCAATAGAATGGTCGCGTTCTCGAAACTCGAAACTTTAACTCATAATCGAGAGCACGAAATTTGTTTTGACATGCGCTAACGTAAATCTCGAAGGCTAACTTTTTATATTTGAGAGATTACTTGGCCTTTCCAGTTTTACCAGGACAGATGGGCGAGCAAGTGCTCAGCCAGGAGGGGTGGGATTTGCTAACAGCTGCCGGAGCGCCTCCGAAGGAGACCTAACATCTCAAGAGCAGCTGCTTCGCGAATGAATCTAATACCGGATCGGAATCGCGACTCGTTTAGAATATCCGGCAAGAAACTCAGCGGGCTGATGTTTAGGTTATGTTGAACGTTGAACTCTTTGCCGGGTTCGACGAGTACGGTTACCGAAGTCCTTACTCCTAGTGTTAGAGTGTCTTAGAATGAAGGTGTCTAGTGCAAGGGTCGAGTACTACCGTCTAATGTAATTATCTGTTTTCGTATCGGCAACTCGAGACATTATGAATTCGATAGATTTTCGTGTTTGTCGTACCTACTGTTAATTTTTTACTTAGATTGTGTATTGTGTATGTGTATGTACGTGTACGTATTTATGTGTATGTACAGAAATTAAAACAATGTGTGTATTTTTGAAATTATAACATAGCAACCTCCTAAATAAAGCAGAGGGCGACGGCCCTTTTTTACCACTAAAAACTGGGGTAGTAGTCAAAGAGCTTTTTAATGAAATTTAAATCAGACAAGTACACCTTATCACGAAGGCGCAACGGTTGAAATCGTTTGATAAATTAAACATTTAATTCCCCCATTACGAAAAGGCAGCACTCGAATAAACATATTGTGAAAGATTTACATTTACGTAGTAATTTAATATGCAGATTTTGACAGATATGTGTCATGTCTTCACGCGTGGAATAAAGTGGCAGGGTAGACAGGGACTTGAAGTCGTTATTTGTCACACGCACGAGACGTAGAAAATTTTTCTTTATATACGTGAAGCAAAAACTTTGTAACCCGTTTTTACGAAAATTGCGGGACGGAGGGGTGTGGAATTTCTCCGCACTTATAGAGAATAAGTATAGAGAAGGAGTGCAGAATTCAATTTTTTTTTAAATTATGCATAAAAAATATATTAAATCAATAAAAAAAAACATTACCCACACTACTTTATTTTTTTATAGCTAACATAGGTGGACGAGCTTACGACCCACCTGGTGGTAAGTGGTAACCGGAGCCCATAGACATCTACAACGTAAATGCTGCCACCCGCTCTGAGTCCTGAGTTGTAAGGTCTCAGTTTTAACAATACAACGGCTGCCCCGCCCGTCAAACCAATTTATAGCAAAAGAGTGTGTGTGTGCGTGCGTGCGTGCGTGCGTGCGTGTGTGGGTGTGTGTGTGTGTGTGTGTGTGCGTGCGTGCGTGCGTGCGTGCGTGCGTGCGTGCGTGCGTGCGTGCGTGCGTGCGTGCGTGCGTGCGTGCGTGCGTGCGTGCGTGCGTGCGTGTGTGTGTGTGTGTGTGTGTAATTGTAATTACTGGTGGTATCTTGTGAGTCCGCGCGGGTAAGTACCACCACCCCTTATTTTTGCCGTGAAAGTCGTTCTTTCCGCTTGGAAAGACGGGATAGCCGGTAAACAATTCAATTAAGACTCCGACTTCATGCTTGAAGGCAGATGATATTTTCTTTAATAAATCTATGGGTTCTTTTCTAAGCACTTAACATCAGGTGGGTTGTAGATAGTTGACCCATCGAATAAGCAATTTAATTAGACACGGACATAGTTTTTCAATTGAAACTCGAAGGCGCATGACGGTGAGTGTTCTGATCGAATGATGACACACATTTTTCCTAAATAAATACGCATTCTAGAATTTTCTCCGGTGTTCGTGAGGCGCAGACGTTATTAGAGCTAATCTTATGACTCAATCGTCCGTGACTACGAAAACGGTAAAGTACTCAAAGCATCGAAAATAATACAATGACAGTAAATACGCGGGACTAAAACGTAAAAGTAGCTTTAATTAAATACGCTCTAATCACGATGGGCTCATTGGCCCACGGGCGACGCTCCGGTTAAAGGTGTAGGTTTGGGTAATAATTTTTTTGTTGTTGCTTAGCTGGGTTGACGAGCTCACAGCGCACCTGGTGTCAAGTGGTTATGAGACCATAGACATCTTTTTTTTATTTTTTTTTATTGCTTAGATGGATGGACGAGTTCACAGCCCACCTGATGTTAAGTGGTTACTGGAGCCCATAGACATCTACAACGTAAATGCACCACCCACCTCGAGATAAAAGTTCTAAGGTCTCAGTATAGTTACAACGGCTATCCCACCTTTCGAACCGAAACGCATTACTGCTTCACGGCAGAAATAGGCAGGGTGGTGGTACCCACCCGCGCGGACTCACAAGAGGCCCTACCACCAGTAATTACGCAAATTATAATTTTGCGGGTTTGATTTTTATTACACGATGTTATTCCTTCACCGTGAAAGTCAATCGTGAACATTTGTTGAGTACGTATTTCTTTAGAAAAATTGGTACCCGCCTGCGGGATTCGAACACCGGTGCATCGCTTCATACGAATGCACCGGACGTCTTATCCTTTAGGCCACGACGACTTCTTCTATGACGTAAATGCGCCGCCCACCTTGAGATATCAGTTCTAAGGTCTCAGTATAGTCATCGAAACACAATAAATTTCAAACACTTTATAAATGTATCTTATCTTAAAGTTATAGTTAGGGGTTACTCTCAGCTTACAGGTAGGCAGTATTAACCTGATACTACTTACCTACTTGAGCGTTCCTATTTGAAGGGTAGGATAATCGTTATTGTCGTCAAGATGACTTTTTGTCCTACTTAAGCTTAACCTAAGGGGGGCCAGAAATCGGGTGAGTAGGTGAGCTCACACAGGGCTTTAAGTTGAAGATGTTGTTAACACTAGCCCTAGCAAGAGCAGTGCTTCGCAGAATCTATTATCGGATTGGAATTGCGACCCATTGAGAAGATCCGGCGAGAAACAACAAATTGAGAATTTAACCTCATGGACCTCAATCCATGGACATTTGCGTGTTTTATTAGGTTAGACCACAAATACTATCAAAAGGACAGTGAGCTCGTATTACATATACGACCTCATGTCTCAAAGTGGAGTTTCCGGCTGTGATGTCCTTGGACTCCAGTTGATGTTTATCGGCAGGCTGGATACTAATTGACTCCGTCGGAAACTAGAACCTTTTATATAACTATTAAAAATATGTGCTGACATTGACAGATTGCCATACGAATAATTACAGATCTAGGAATTTGGCAATACACATATTAATCACGATTTGAATCATTCGTCTGTAAATTACTTCGATCGTTTTATATTTAGTTCGCATACGTAATAGTTGCAGCGATGCCAAGTGCTTCCTCGTGGCCTATTCGATGCGAAAACTCTACTCTACAACCCAAAATACACCTTAACATTATTGAAACAAGATCTACAACGGCTCTGCAGTAATTTGATGACATTTACTAATATTTGTCGCGCTTATTTTGAGTCGACAATAATGCAACACTAACATATCGGTCAGACCGATTCCACATTTAGTTCCGAGTGGTGCTTTTCTGTTAAGCTTTTCAGTTAAAGTGTTCAATTATGAATTCTAAAAAAAATAAACACAAAAAATCGAATAAAAACATTCAGAATCTCCCTAAGCACGACGAAGCAGAGGCTTCAGAAACGAAAGAAAGTGTCGTAGTAACAGAAATTACAACGGATATGCCAAGTGAAGTGCCTGAACCTGCCAAGGAGGAAGTCCAGGTACTCTTAGATACTGAAACACCGAAGAAACCTAAAAGGAATAGAGGTAAAAAGAAAAAAGGAAACGAGAATGAGGAATGTGAAGAAGGTAAGCTAACAGAGCCTGTTGAACCTAAAGTTGAGCTTCAAAGTCCTTTAAAGGAAGAAAACGTTACACACACAGAAAAAGTAGAAACCATCGAAGTACCAACTGCTCGTAAAAATAAAAACAAAAATAAGTGTAATGAACCAGCCATACCCGTAATAAACACAGAACCTCCATCAGAACTATCTTCTACCAAGGAGATTGAAGAACAAAATCTTGAAATAATGCCTACTGAATTTTTAGAAGAATCTAAGTCCTTAAAGAAGAAGAACAAAAAAAAGAAACGAAATTACTCTGATAGGTCTGACAAAAACCCAGAAGTGTCCTGTACAGCAGCGTTTGAGGATCTTTTGGCAGAGGAAGGTCAAACTGATAGAAACCAAGGAGAAGTGCAGACCAAAGAAGACATAGCTGAACTTAAACAAGTTGTTGACGATTTGGGAATTAAAGTTGAAACTGAAGAAATTAAAAGTGATATAATACTTGAAAAGCAATCAGAAATACAGCTCGAATCTGATACTAAAAGTAAAAAGAAAGGTAAAAAAGAGAAGAAAATGCAGACAGAACATTATGCCATTGAAAATGTGGATGATATCAAACCTATCTTAACTGAAGGTAATGTTGTCAAATCTTTGAATGCTCCCGAGAATCCTTCAGAGGGAAAGTCCTCTGATGTAGTAAAATCATTAAAACTGTGCGCAAGTATTGAAGAATCGATAAGCTCTGAGTTGCCAAAACAAGAGATTGGATCGAAAGAAGAGTTTCAGAAGCCGAAAGCTAAAATAGCTAAGCCGGTGGAAAAGAAGCACACTGGCAAACGTGAAATAGATGATCTTAAATGCGAAGATGTTAGAAGTGAAGATATATGTATTAGAGAAACTCTTACTCCTATACAAGAAATTAGCCCTTTTACTGTAACTGAGGAAACTGATGAAGGTCTTCCTGTAAAATCATTGATCGAAGACATTAATCTTAGTACATTAGAAAAAGCAGAAACCAAATTAAAAGAAGAAGTTCTAAAATCATTTGAAACTCCAGAACCTATAAGTTTTAAGGAATCTGAAAATGTAACCTCAAAAAATAAGAAGAAAAGAAAACAAATAAAGGTGCCAGAAAATTCCCCAGAAGGTCAGATAGAAAAAGAACATCAGAAGCAACCAGAAGACAATGTTCTATTAGATGCAGAGCAGAGTCACGATAAGAATATTCTTGATGAAAGCATTAAACTAGAAGATAAAGATCACATTTTATTTGAGAGCTTAGTACTATCCGATCCTGTGACAACAACAGAAGAAATTGTGGATAAAATAATAGAGAGTATTTCACAGTCCGATGAATCTAATAAAGCTGAAATAAAAACTCTTGAACCGTCCTTAGATAACCATAAGATGAAAAAAAAAGGAAGGAAATCTCCCAAGTTACCTTTAGAATTGGGAGAAGGGTCGAAAATAGCAGAGATTAAACTAGGCACAACAGCAGTAGAGGAAAAAAAAGACATCGAGCAAACGCAAGACGAAGGTACCGGCTCAACAACACTGGAAGAAATAGAAATAAGAAGCTGTAAGTCTGAAGAATCACCTTGTGACGTTGCTCCTGAAATCCATTACCCCAGGTCGACCAGCCAACAGCTAGACGATAATAACAACATGGTAATTAGGGAAATATTGAATGACGATCTTTTGAACATTCCTATTTCTACACCTACAAATATCCAAGGATCTGGGGAAACACCTATTGGATCACCGCAAATGGTTTCATCGGGTATTAAAATAACAGAGGTAGAAGCTTCGAGTAAAGCGGAAGAAAAGACAGATTTGAAATCTAAAATGATGGAAGTTAACCAGGACATGGAAGAATTGAGGATGTCTATTGAAAGATCTTTGGCTGAACTCACTTCCATGGAGGACAATGAAAAAGTGCCCGAAAAACAATATGAGAAAAAGAGTGAAACTGAAGCTATTCCTCAATCAGCTGAATCATTGGCAGATCGGGAAGTCAAGCAGCAGATAGAAAAAGAGCCCACATACGAAGAGCTAGCAATTGAAGAAAATCCTAAAATAATAACGGAAAATATTTGTATTAATGAAGGTATTGTAAAGTCTATTCCTGAAGAAAAAAAAGAAAAGAGTCCAAATATTGATGAAAAGGTTGTTCCCATAGAGTCTTGTTCCGATCTCGAACCCCCAGTCTGCCCAGCCAGAAAAGATAATAAGGGTAAGGGTAAAAAAAGGAAAGGGAAGCAGGAAACAGTCTCAAACCCTAGCCAAACTCAAACGGAAACTGCTATTACTAACACGGACACTGAGAAAAAAGACTCCAAACAAAAACAAGACGAAAAGACTGAACAGAAGTCAGATAGTACACAAGCAAAAAGCAAACAAAAATCCGATTTACCCTCACAAGATGATGTAAGTAAAGAAGAAAAAGAAATACAACCAGTCAGAGAGCAATATGAGCCAATAGAGAATTTTGAAGATGCTTTATCAACAGTCGATGACTTGGACGTAAATAAATCCTTCGAAATGATCCTCAATGAAGTAACCGAAGAGAAACAGCAAGAACTGGCTGATAATAAGCCAGAAATTAAAATAATAGGACCGGATGATACAAAGGCAACACAGTCTGTACCGCAGCCAAAAAACTTGCTAGGCCATCCCGCTATTCCTGCATCATCGAATAGAGCTGATTATAAAAAAGAAAAAAACAAACCGCCCAATTCTAGACAAGCCAGAGTCAAAATAAAAGACAGTAACGATATTGAATCAAGCAGAACGCACAAGGAAATTAAGGAGAAAAAATCTAAAACAGATTTGTGTAAGATTAATGAATCATTTTCTCAAATTAACCAAAACGAGGATTTTGTCTACAAATATAGTTTTAGAAAGGTTTTCTTACAAAGTTCATGTCTTGTTTGTAAGAAGGATTTGATACAAACAAGGGTACCTTGCAAGCGATGTAATCTTGTGTTTTATTGTAGTAAAGAGCATTGCAGTGTTGATGGTTTGCAACATAAGGACTTATGTAACGCTATCAAAATTATCCTGAAATTTAAAGGTAATAAAGTTGTCAGTGATGGATAGTTAAGTATATTATGTTAGCGGCGCTTGGCTTCTGTTTCAACATCTTTTTTTATTTTAGTAGACAGTAATATTTTTCAAAAAAAAACCTAACTGGTTAAATTGAATTTACTCGTAAATGTTCAAGAGAGCTCTATTACATCACAAATTGAATAAGAACTGAAAACGAAGTCTCAATTAATTTTAATAATGATCAAACTTTCCGAAAATTCGCTCATCCACCATGGTACTAGTACATACCAAGCATTGGTACCCATCGTATATACTAATGCATAATATATAGTACTATAAATGGAATCATGCAGTGACCATTTGGGCTTGCTTCATATGAGGTCCTAATAAATTATTTATCGTATAATATTCAATAAATGTACTTACTATTGAATTGAAAACTGTATGATGTAAAGTTCTATTCAAATTTGCATCTAATGACGTCAATATTCATTCAAAATTGCGGGGAATAATAGGTCCTTGTTGAATTTAGTTCAGATGTTTACGTGATTGAACCCTACATTGTACAACACAAAGTTAAGGCGTCATATCCGCTCTTTATAACGAACAGAGAGTAAGTTCATAAATGCTCAAAGCTAGCCTTTTAGAAAGCATTCAGGTCAATAATTGATTTAGCGACTAAAGCATTTCCTTTTTTCATTTCTCGCCGCAATGGCTTATCAGTTACAAATTTTAACTAAATATCTGGACATTATTGGTTCCTTAGATTCGCCACACATCTACAGTGACGCACAAGGAGTCGTTGGACACAACTACAGACTGCTTCGAATGGAGATGATACTGGCTTGCGAGAAGGAGCTGAAAAGACGGCTGGTACCCTGGGAGCAGGAGGCGCTTCTGTATCCCAGGATGTGCGCTGATGTTTGGTGCAGAAAATGGGAGCAGGATGCTTTAAAAGATTGTGAACGATGTGGCCAGGTTGGTATTTGCTTACCTCCACGGCTCATGTTTTATTTTTTATTTATTGCTTAGATGGGTGGACGAGCTCACAGCCCACCTGATGCTAAGTGGTTACTGGAGCCCATAGACATCTACAACGTAAATGCGCCACCCACTTTGAGATATAAGTTGTAAGGTCTCAGTGTAGTTACAACGGCTGCCCCACCCTTCAAACCGAAATGCATTACTGCTTCACGGCAGAAATAGGCAGGGTGGTGGTACCTACCCGTGCGGACCTTCAAGAGGTCCTACCACCAGTAATTACCTCCACGGCTCATGTAGTTAATAAGTTAATTGTCTTTAAACATGAAGTTCATATCTCTTTTCCATTACTTATAAGTAGTTACCGCATGCCCTACCTTTAAAACCGAAAAGCATAATTGCTTCGAAGTTGATATAGGCAGGAAGGTGGAATCGATTTAGAAAATGCTCTGTCATAGTCTCGTCATTCGTCATGAATATACCGCGCGAATTGTCGTAAAAAGTGCATGGAATATCAGCTCTTGTTCCCCTAAAGTTATGTTGCCTTATAATCCGGCACTAATGGTAGGCTTCCAACGCAAGCATACATCATCACACTTTAGTAAGACTCAAAATAATATGAACAGCTTATTCTTACGGCTATTTTTTGACATATTTTAGGTTTTGTACCATTTATTTTATGGGGAGTGTCCTCGGGAATTATTCGAGATGATTCCTACGTCTCTTTTGTATTATCGCACCGCACAGACACCGGAGCAGATTGCGTTTATCTACAACGCCTTTCCAAAGATCTTTTTGGCCAAGAACCATCCGGTTTTGGAATGAACTATTCTCAATGCTGTTTCCCGAGCGCTATGACATATCCTTCTTAAAACGAGGTTTTCAGAGAGTACTTAGTGGTAGGCAGCGGCTTGGATATATCCTTTGTGTTGCTGACATCCAGTAGACACGGTGACCACTGACCATCAGATGGGTCGACTCTTAATCTGCAAAAATTTAACATTTTAACTATACTAGTTGATGACCGAACTCGACAAAGAGTTCGACGTGCAACCTAACCCATGAATCAGCTCGCTGATTTCTCGCCGGATCTTCTCAGCGGGTCGCGATTCCGATCCGGTAGTAGATTTATTCGCGAAGCAGCTGCTCTTGAGTTGTTAGGTCTCCTTCGGAGGCGTTCGGGCAGCTGTTAGCGAATCCCACCTCTCCTGGCTGAGTCTTTGCTGGCCTACCTGTCCTTGTGAAACTGGAAAGGCCTCCAGGCCGCCAGTAATCCTTCAATATTAAAAAAAAAAATTGTACCCTAAGCCAGGTAGCAACAGCTCCCCTAAAAATCGGTTCGGTTAATTCATTTTGAGTACTCGAAGGGTATAAAGGCTTATTTAATCAAATTCTGTTCCATATTCATTAGTCAACCCTTTTTGTTTTACGAAGGGTTCAGCGCGTTTGATCTGTTAAAATACGCTTCTGTCATTAAAGTATCCAACCCATAGCATTTACGAAATAAAATATTAAGTTTTTTGCAAGTTACATACGTTTACATACTATTGTTTGCGCTTAGGATTCTGCTTGTATCTGTCAGACATTATTCTTTAATCACACAAGCATTCTACATACATAAGCCAAATATTTTCGTTAAGATCTGCACGACTAGATCAATAAAACGATCAAAGTTTGACGATGATGTTTGATATTTAGTCTTTTTTATTATTTTGAAAGAAGTGCGTGTAATTTTAACTAAAATCGCTCAAATTTCTAACACTTACTTAAATATACATTTACTAGCTGACCCGGCAGACTTCGCAGTGCATCATTCGATAAATAAAAGACACATTAAGAGGACAAATCAAAGGAAAAACAAAATTGTTTTTTTTAAATATAATTCCGAGCTTTTTTATATTTTCTCACCTTTTAAACCTTCCCTGGACTTCCAAGAATAATTCAAGACTAAAATTAGCCAAATCGGTTCAGCCGTTCTCGAGTTTTAGCGAGACTAACGAACAGCAATTCATTTTTATAATATAGATAAGGGAAAAAAATACAAGATCACACAATAAACATCTATATGGCTTCTATACAAGATCCCTTCTTATAGTTCTATGTAAATATATTACTATGTGTGCGTCTTCTATGTGTTCAGGATCATGTTGCGCAAGGTATTGAACTTCTGCACAGATGGTATTATTCATTCTGTGCGTTAGATTTTTCTAAAGTGAAAAAATTTATTGAAGTGAAAAAATTACTAGATGATGACCGCCTTCTTGATAACGCCATCTTGTTGTGTTTTTAAAGCGGTTAGTTGCACTCAATTAAGAGAAATAGTATTATTATTCGCCAATAGATGTCGGGAAGAGTTGATTATTGAAAACACGAATAAAACAACATTTTCTGCAAATAAATCGTAGCTAGATCGATTTATCGCCCCCGAAATCCCCTGTATACTAAATTTTATGAAAACCGTTGGAGCCGTTTCCGAGATTCAGATTATATATGTATATTAATATACAAGAGTTGCTCATTTAAAGGTATAAGATTTGAGTAAGGTGTTAGCACAAGTGGTCTGATATTCGTACCGAATGAAGAGACTATGGTTCGTTATCAGGTCTAGTCCCATTGCTGAATAATTATCTTAAAACAGATGTCCTACTGCGCCAATTCTCCTGATCATTTGCCGAAGTCACATCAGCGCTGGTGCAAATCGTATTCCCTGTACCAGAAACTGGTGACTTACCAGCAAACTAAAGGAAGACTGGACTTGAAGATGCCAACCAGAGTCATGTCTGGGCTCTACCAGATACCCGATAACATGAATGAGGTCTTGGCTTCTATGTATGAGGAGAAAATTGGTAAGTCATTTTCTAGTTTGGTTTTATTACATTTGAAGAATGGAACTCATAGACGGTAACTGGAATGCACGAATGCTTTGTATGCATAATACAGCCTACCACTAGTATTAGTAATGATTCTTTTTTTTTGTTTTTTTTTATTGCTTAGATGGGTGAATGAGCTCACAGTCCACCTGGTGTTTAGTGGTTACTGGAGCCCATAGACATCCATAACGTAAATGCGCCACCCACCTTGAGATGTAAGTTGTAAGGTCTCAGTATAGTTACAACGGCTGCCCCTCCCTTCAAACCGAAACGCATTACTGCTTCACGGCAGAAATAGGCAGGGTGGTGGTACCTACCCGCGCGGACTCACAAACTTTTTTATACTAATTTGTAAAATTCAACAGTCTTCGGTTCAGAATTCCTATTTTTTGGAATATAGGATTACTGGTGGCCCGGAGGCCTTTTCAGTTTGACCAGAAAACGGTTGGTGACCATGGGCCTAGGAGACATGAGGTTTGCTAACAGCTGCCCGAGCACTTCCAAAGGAGACCTAACGACTCAGCAGCTGCTTCGAATGACGGACTGCCTTCTGCTATTCTCTTCTATCTAATAATCACCGTCGCCCACTCAAAGAAGTTAAGTTAATTGCTGGCCGATTGATACCAATCTGCTTCCCACTCACAGATATGTCCGATATCCAATACGCTGCATTGACACAGATCGCCACGGCACCACTGACTGCCCTGTACTCTTACCAGCTGTACCGAAATGCGAGTCCTACTACTAATGGCATAAATAAGGTAATAGATTAAATCTAAATAAAATACACCCCTTAGATTGATAAAATTTATAATCATCACAAGAGAGCTTCAGTAGTATCATCCGTGTTGGCACATGACGTCCAATTTTTATTACCTTGTACCGATATTGTTCCGACCGGATCGCTTTAATCCTTAGTGGTAGAAGTAAGCAGGAATGTGGAAGCTATCCACCCTGGTAAGCTTAAAGCACGCTCTACGACGAGTTATAGCAAAAGCATACTAGATATGTTTTTCTTTCACCAGAACACAAATTTCACCATTCACGTGGTAGGGGCAGAGTTACAATTCGAAGCTGATATGTTGAACAAATGGGAAGTCTTTTTCCTTCACTTGCGGCCTGAGGTGAAGGAACTCAAAGTCGTGCTGATCGGCACTGAGCTCAACCCTGGAAACCTGCCTTTGGAACTGCTAGAGAAGACCAGGTTGGTACCAAGTTACTTACAATAACATTTCTTTGGAATTCTATATTTGGTTGTCATTGCTCGATATACCATAGACAGCCTTTTCATGAATAAAGATGTTAGGTGTATTTTTTCAACAAATGCCAGTCTGGGCTTTGAAGAGTGGATTAATTACAAAATCATTGAGATGCCGACGTCTCAAATGTAGTTGGATAAGTCATATATTAATACGTGAAATAAAAACTTTGTACCCCTTTTTACGAAAATCGTGCGGACGGAGGAGTAAGAAATTTCCCACACTTATAGAGAATATAGGGAAGGAGTGCACAATGCTAATACTTTTTTACAATTATGCATAAAAAATAATTAAATCAATAAAAAAAAAACATTACATGGTAGTGTGTACCATGTATTTGACACACACACGCATATATACTATATACTGTTTTGTTTATTGTTTAATATTTGTGGTCAAATTGAGAATAGATTAGTATTTTTTGTCTATAATATTATTTGTTTGTAGTGTAGTCTTGGCGACATCTGTATTTATAGAAGTATAATAGTTTTTGTTAATAGAACCGTAATAATGTTTAAACTTATAGTTTGAATTAGTAATTATAGTCGAATTTCGACTACTGGGGTAGTTCTTATTATAGTGTCAAAGGCCCCTTTATCTGCCTCACACAAGATGCCTAATACTCGACTGGTTAGCTAGTCCAATAATTCGTTTAATTATAATAATATTGTAGTGTTAATTAAGTAATATTCTCCCACAGGATGTGCGCTGACTGCCGCATGAACCAACGCAGACTGGTCCTTAGTTTCCACGACAAAACAGGCTATTCCGAGTACAAGGATACGGAAGATTTTATCCTACCAGACATTGGTAACTAGTAAAAATATAATTAATGAAAAATATTCGGAGACGTATTGAGAATTACCTCGTTTTATAAAGTCTATTCAAAATATATATATGTCGCAGAATGGGGCCGATATCTAATATAATACATATTTAATACGTGAAGCAAAAACTTTTTACCCCTTTTTATGAAAATTGCGCGGACGAAGGAGTATGAAATTTCCCACACTTATAGAGAATATAGAGAAGAAGTGCACAATGATAATATATTTTTTTAATGATGCATAAAAGATACATTAAATCAATAAAGAAAACGTTACACACACTCCCATGTATTTGACACACACGCATGCATACTATTTATTTATGTCAAACTTTTGTTCTTGACGTCTGTAGTCAAATTGAGAATAGATTAATTATTATTTGTCCGTGTTAATATTTTTCTATAGTGTAGTCTTGGCGAAATTTTTGAGTATAGAAGTATAATAAGTAGTCTTCGAAAATAGAATCATAATAGTGTACAAACTTATGATTTCAACTAATTATAGTCGAGTTTCGACTACTGGGCGACCACTAGTTTTCATTATTTCTTGACATAGTGGGTGTATGATAGGTAGCCGTGCAAAGAGATTGTACAGCACGAAACGATATGACAGCTCCAAGACGTCTTTGCTTGTCCTAAGTCAAGAAGCTTCCAAAGCACACCACCCGAAGTGCGCCGATGTTTGTCGAGTAGTTGCGGCTCGCATCCACTAGATGGCGCGCTTTCGCTTCGTTTGTGGTGTCCGGATGCGACATATATATGTATATCGCCATTGTTAATAATAATGCCAGGACTCTGCTGCCGTTCGTCAGTTTTCAGAGTACCACCATCCTGTCGATATTAACATCCAGCTAATTGTTCGGTCCTGGTCAAAGGCCCGGACAGGTGTTTAGCAGACCGCGGCCTCAGGTCTCAAGTCGACTAGGGGCAGTCACGCTAAGCTAACTATGACCTTGGGAACCATTTAACACGACTCGAGCGAGAAATGTCAAAACACCAAAACCATATCTTTTTTATGACTGACGAATTGATTTCTGAGTTAAAGAGGATGAAGGTTTAATTCTTACATGCTTTATTTATAGTGAATACGTTAATAGTAAGGTGTGGCGGATGAAAGGCGATTGCATGCAGCAGAGATGCGAATGTAGCGATGGATGTGTGGAGTAACGAGAATGGATAGAATACGGAATGAATATGTTAGAGGAAGTCTGAAAGTGGCACAAGTCACAGAGAAGTTGAGAAGTGCGCGTTTGGGATGGTATGGACATGTGATGAGAGGAAATGAAAATGAGGTTGCTAAGAGAACGTTAACTATGAATGTGGAAGGATATAGAGGAAGAGGTAGACATAAGATGAAATGGATGGATGGAGGGTGTAAAAGGGGAGTGAGCGAAGAAATGGTATATGATAGAAGAGTATGGAAGGAGAAAACATGTTGCGCCGACCCCAAGTGTCTCGGGGAAGGGCAAGATAATGATGAAATGATGAGTAAGGTGTTTATTTCATTCATTCATTTTAGGCCTTACAGCCCAAGGTAAACCTGGTCCAGTCTCTCCAGACTGCTCTGTGTGCTTAGTGCGAATTTTTTAACGTTCTCGATAGCGTAAAAGTTAACTTATATTTGTATGGAATGGGATCATTTGCGTACGTTTGCCGCTAGGGGCGCTGTTCCAACTGCATACAAATATGAGCTAAATTTTACGCTATCAAGAACCTTAAGAAACTCGCACTGAGCACGCTGTTCAGGGTTTTAGGTGTTAATGGAATTTTAATTTGCAGTTTGCGCATTCAATCCCGCCATTCACCGCTCGTCTGTCTACAATGGAAAAGATCCGTGGCCTTCCACTTTGACGACAATAACGAGGCTCAGAATCCCTTTCTTAGTCACAGCTCACACGATCACGGAACTCCAAAGGGATTTGGTGAGGATCAAAGAGTGCTGCGAGGTCAAAGTGACGGGAGACCCCAAACATAATCCCTTCGCAAGCGTGAGGCCCGACAGAAACTTTATATCTGACGACGAAGCGCCTTTACTCTTCAAAAATTACTGTTTCATGATTTTAAATGGATTTTGATGTGTTTTCATGTTTCTTTTTGTACGTTTTAATAAATTCGTTTGACTGATAGCCTTATTTTGTTTTTTCTGCGAAGAATATATCTGCCTGATCATAAGTGACATCTCATGTCGATCATACAGCCAAGATCAAACTGGTGGTGGGACCTATTGTGAGTTCATGCGGGTAGTACCGCGACTCTGCCTATTTCTGCCGTGAAGCAGTAATGCGTTTCGGTTTGAAGGGTGGGGCAGCCGTTGTTACTATACTGAGACCGTAGAACTTATATTTTAAGGTGGGTGACGCATTTACGTTGTAGATGTCTATGGGCTCCAGTAACCGGTTAGCACCAGGTGGGCTGTCCACCCATCTAAAAAACAAAAAAAATTACTTAATGTACCTAACAAATTACGCTACAAACAAATAAAAAGAGAATTCAAATGGACGTATTTCTGAGCTTATACCAAGCGGAGAGCAATTATGTGAAAAGGGTAATAAATAAAACAGGTTATTTTTATATTTTATTTTCTACTTATAAAATTAATGCATAACAATAAGTACGTCAAACTAAATATGTCTATTTATCACAGATATGTCGCATCATCGCCGCTAACAGCACCGCGTATATGAGTTTAGTTTTAGCTAAAGCGTGTCGTATGCTTATAGGAGAAACACACACCTATTACTGGAAAAGCTCTAGAAAATATTCAATCATATTTGGTTGTACTGGAAACTTCATAAATTTAACTTACGCGGTAATGTTGGCTTAGCGACGATATTATACAATTTAATTAAAAACAAATACACTTACAGGGTGTAATTAAGCTACATTCAAGGGCGGATCCAGGGGGGGGGGTCATGGGGGTCATGACCCCCCCTGATCTGGTTCCAGGACCTAGGTGGACCACATATTGAACATAATGATTTTAGGACCACGGTTATGGAATATAAATAAGCTGCCTCATTCCGGGCGTGATAGTGCTTCTCTGGATTTCTTCAAGAGAAGATGACAATATGTACGTGTGTATGTACAAGTTATTATGTGTTAAGTTTTTCAAGTGTACAATAAAGAATAAATAATTTTAAGTACAGTACTTACGTACATAAATAAAATACCTACTTTTTACTTGTATCTATTGTTATCAAAATTAAATTATAAGTTCTAGACTTGACCATGATTATGTGACCCCCTCCTGGCACCAAAGCTGGATCCGCTCTTGGCTACATTAAAAGTAAGTTATTAGCCTAATTTAAAACGTTATGATTGATTGTACTAAGCGTAAATACATAACGTTTTAGTAAATTGATATTTTTCGAGCCCGCAGTGTATCGCAAAAGTGTGACTCTAGATCGTTGACCTCTTAGCTGATTTATAGAAAATTTTGGAACGTGATTTTTAAGAGTTTATCATTTTGATGAGCATCGGAATGACAATTTCTTTCACACGCTTATTCTCAAAACATTTTTGTCGGGCACATTACACTTTTTTCACAAATCAGTAATCAGAAGGTATTTACAAGGCATATACTATGCCTATAATAGAAGATTTTGCTCAACAGAAATCCCGAAAGAAACCGTTATCGAAATCGTAACCAAAAAACCAGTAGCATTCTAATATCATTAATGACATATTATATCATACTGTATTTGATTACCTATAATAAATGGTCACACTCAGTAAAAAAATGTTATTATAATTCGCTTTTTTACTTTCCAAAAGGGCGTCAAATTCTTGTGTGCCCAAGGGCCCCATCCTAGTTTAAGACGTCCCTGATAACAAGTATCTTTGACACAAAACGGGTCCTCCCTGGACTAAACTGTAATCAAAGTTATTAACCCAACAAGGCGAAAACAAAAAAAGGTGTTTGTGTCAAAGGTCAAAAGCTTAAATGTACCAAGTTAATGGTGACCTATAAAATTAGTAATCATTACTTTGTCATTATTCAATTTACTAATATTAAATTTAATTAATTAAGTTTTATGTATTTACATTTTAGATTAGAAAATCATCTGAAAATAAAACAAAAAAATACATAGGTTTTTTTTGTTACCTTTAGACTATCGGCGAACAATCCTTCTAATAGCTTGTAAGATGCTTTGTATATATTCTAACATATGTTCAGTAGTATCTTATGTAGAAAATCTCTTTTTTTATAAACAGAAGAAGATACGGCGTTTTGTATAATTTTTCTAGAGTGAAATCCATTTTCGCTTGCAGCAAATTTCACGAGTCAGTTGAACGATTTCAAGCTACAGTTCTTTGATTCGCGCCAAAAACAGTTGCAACGCGGAAAACTGACGAGTATTAAAAATTGTCGTAAATACTGTTTGCCTACGTTTGCCGCTAGGGGCGCTGTTCCAATTCCATACATTGAGCTAACTTTTACGCGATCTAGAACGTTAAAAAACCGCACTAAACACACTGAACGTGCCTATTCGCATTAAAAAATACCTACCCAATGCGAATGTTTAGATACTCGTCGATTTACATAAGGCGTCACGTATTGTTGAATAGATTGACTAATTTGTTATTCTAATGTTTTGCATCGCAGTCTGTATGCGACTGACGCGGTTACATCATACTGATACTAGATGGCGCTGATCTGCTTCCAAATTAATTCCGTCCTAAGTTACAAGCTATGAGAAAAACTCATAATACGAATTAGCGTTGTAATATTTTTGAGATTACATTTAACATGGCGATGAGGAGTACTTGTTGACCGAATGAATCGTAATGTAATGTTAAGTAGTTTTCTTAAAACTTTAATTCAAAGTGGAGATTTGGCGTAAAGAAACACACACACATTCTTATACATAATGTAACTAACTTTAAATTCGGAAATAGTTTGTACAAACACAAACTTTCCATTTAACCCAAAAGAAAAATGCATTTAAAAATACTTTTGAAAGGATTTTTCGTTTTAGGCAAATCAATAAGTCGTCGAGCATTGTTAGAAATATAAGATGTGAATGTTTTGTTAACAACACCCAGAGTAAGTACCCACAAGAGCCCAAATAATATCCCAAGCATAAGGTCGCATATGTTATTTTGTAAATAACACTTATGAAGAAGTTATTTTTCTTTTTGTAATCTAGACCTCTAGATAAAAAAATTCTTATTTAATTAACTTAATGAACTAACTAAAGTATCGAGTTTGAAAAGCTAATGTCATGGCTATCCGACTTTATACTTCTGATATCGGGTGATGTGCTACAAAATGGCAAAGGGCACAGGAAATATGATTGTCTGTACTGCTGGAAAAAATATTACAGTCTTGTTCAATTTTTGATGTGACAACGTCTTATAATTCGATGGAACCGGCTGTACGCACGAAAAAACCTGACTCATGCGGCGTTACCTCGCTCTGAGGCGTTCCATTTAAGGCTTGAAGTGCAAGCGAGAGCGCGCAACGAGCGACAAAGAGGCACGATCGGCCTCCGCGTTCGGCAGCGTTCGACATCTGTCTCTCTCCTACTTGAGTGAGCGATGCATCCGCGTGGACAGCTGCTATACAATAATAAATTTACATGTTTTCGTCAAGTATGAAGTTCAGTGAAAAGTGAATGTGGTGTCAATTGTTTATAGCAACGATAATTGCGATAATTGAAAAATGAAACCATTCCATCAGTATTTTCTTATGACGTTGTCACGTTCAACTATCGTCAGTAAACCGACTTTACAGACAACCGATTTTTTACTTCGACCATTTATTTCCCTGTACCCTTACACAAATAAAAACACAGACATATACAGAAGGCGTCCCAGACCGATGACTGAAGCAGTACCCGACACCTAAAAGAGAGGAGGCGGTAAGAATTCTGATAGACATTACAATGAGAATATGTACTGATAGATTATAATGTACAGTGACGTGGAATTGTAAGAGGAACATCTTTGGACCTTTGATATTAAGGCTTTGGTGTGCTTATCTTAATGTTTCTGCCTGAATTTAAGACTGAAATATGATCGCGATTTCGACGAATACAACACAATAATTAGCCTATTCACTAAGCTAGAATGAATGGTTGGTTCGTGCTAGAAATAAGCAATAGTAGTATACAATCTTGCAGATTTGATAGATATATGATAGATATTCATGGCTAAAAACGGAAAATATGGCTGTTTGAATTATTATTATTATTTTTGTTGCTTAGATGGTTGGACGATCTCACAGCCCACCTGGTGCTAAGTGGTTACCGGAGCCCATAGACATCCACAACGCAAATGCGCCACCCACCTTGAGATATAAGTCCTAAGGTCTCAGTATAGTTACAACGGCTGCCCCGCCCTTCAAACCGAAACGCATTACTGCTTTACGGCAGAAATAGGCAGGATGGTGGTAGGTACCTACCCGCGCGAGCTCACAAGAGGTCCTGCCACCAGTAAGAGAATTTAATTGGTACTTAATTCTAGCCGTAGTAATTTATTACAGCTGTCGTTGTCAATGTCGATAAGGAGAAAGTTTGTGGTGGTAGACATCACAGAGCACTAGATCTTTGACAGATGTCTAAATCTCGCTAACGACATTTTTAAGATAAGCTTACTACAAGTTCCGAATTTTAGCGTCGGTCTACTGAGCAATGTCATCCGCTCGATAGAAGATCTTCCTTTTGTTGTTAAACTCCCAAAATACCCTACGAATATTATAATAGACCAAACAATATCTAATAACCAGTCAGCCATCACGAAATGAAGGTAATGGAGCTAGAATGATAAGGTCATGCAGATGTGTCATTATCATTAGAACACAAGCCGTTGGCTCAATATTACACAAGTCAAAAATCATTCTAAGGTAAGTAAAATTTCTTTTGGGATTTAGGTCTTAACGAAAACCAGAAAATGTCTAATGTTTTTATTTTTCTATTATTGATTATTTTTTGTTTTTTTATTGAAGAAAAATGGCTTTATATCTGTGACCACTTTTAATACAACCGTCTTAATGTAAGTTGTGTTCAAACCGAGAAGGGTGATTTAATTATTGGACTCACTCTATCTATTTCACTTGAATATTATTAATGTGTGCAGTTTTTATCTAATTATGAACTTAAATAAATATATATAATGTATTTATTTATTTAAATCAAAATACAGTTTAGCTTTGTAAAACTATAGCAATTGAGTTGCTCTTATAAAGAGAAACAACATTTAAAGCTATTGCTTCACTATTATTTTTATATCTTTTTATATTTTAAAATTGCAAAAATGCTCTTTATATGTCTAATGTTCTAATGTTTCAATAATCGAAATTCTATTTATGTCATCTATAGAAGAATGATATAAATAACATATTAACCTCTTTAAGGATTAATCGTATAGAGGTTACATATATATATGCTTAACATTAATAAAATATCAAATGGCGTATTCATCAAAATGCTTCATTAAGGATACGGTTCATAATCTTAATTAAGAACTTAGAATTTGCGTTGAGACTTTGGACTGCGGGTATATTTGATAGTGTCGTGTGCTGGTCAATTAGTGTCATTAATGATGTATCGAAAGCTGGATGTGGCAGGCAATCAAGTTAAAAAGCAAAGCGTTATCGTTAATAACAAAACAAATACCTTATTTATTTATAAAACAATAACCTGACTGTTAGGTGGCGCCGTGGTTGGATCGCTGTCCGTATCCTTTCTAGAAACATCTAATTCTTTGGGATAATTATCTTCTGTGACGTCACTAGTTTCTGTATCAGTATCTAGCGTGTTATTGCTTGAGAATTCATTGAATGTGTCTTCATTGAAGAATTTAAATACATCATTTGTTGTTACATCTTGTAAATTTGTTCCTTCTACTGTTGTGCTCTCTGTGTTATCTAGTATTTCTGTTGTATTATCATTGAACGAAGCATAATACTCATTAGTTTGCGTTGTATCCAACCGGACAGTTGTCATGTCAGTGTCAGCGGTCTGCGTGCTCGCGTGACCTGCGCTCGTCACGTTACTTATCGAACTGTCATTGTTCACATCACTGTCATTAGTGATAAAGTTATTAAGTATCATATTTATAAGTGCGTTATCATTATAGCTATGTAATGGGAAGCTGGCGTTCGTTTTGTCGTATCCAGTTTTGTTTTTCATTTCATCGTTGACGTATTTTTGAATGTTTTGTTCGTAGTTGTCAGGAGGATCCCAGTGGTAGTCCGGGTCGTAATTTGCTAAGACTGTGCTGGAGGCTGTGGTTGTAGTGTCGACGTCTTCTGTTGGGACGTTTCTGATTTGTGACCCGGTATATTTGGCTATGGCCGGCCCCAACGTGCCCTCGAGATATTCACGTAAATTGTGACATTTTTTAACTGTGTTGACGTCGTTGGAGCTGCCCCACACTATGAACCCTGAGGCGTTCGAGGCGTATATCGCTTGCAGGGCCGAATTGAGGTCTTCCTGAAATTGGAGAGATTTGAATTTTAAGATTTTTTTATTTTTTTTTATTGCTTATATTGGTGGCCGAGCTCACAGCCCACCTGGTGTTATGTGGTTACTGAAGCCCGTAGACATCTACAACGTAAGTGCGCCACTCACCTTGAGATATAAGTTATAAGATCTCAGTATAGTTACAGCGGCTGCTCCACCCTTTAAACCGAAACGCATTACTGCTTCACGGCAGAAATAGGCAGGGCGGTGGTACCTACCCGCGCGGACTCAGAAGAGGTCCTACCACCAGTAAAAAATTAATTGAAAACAGAGACAAATTAATTGAGTATGCCGTATACTAAGTGGGCGAAACGTTTTGGATTTAATTCGGATTAGATTTTCGCGACATTAGGTAGATATTTATTGCGCCAGACTCAATAAATGAGCATTGCATGTTCTTTAAGTCAGGTGGTATGTAGTTTGTTAAGGAGTGACGCAGAGACGATCTTCCACCGAGCGAGTGTGTTCTCTCGACAGACCGAGGGTCCGCATATTGTTCGGAGCTTTTGAGATGAGCTTATCATGTAAATGAAATTTCAGTAGTTCAATTCAAGCTTTTTTCAGATTACCTCTACAGAGCTGCCGTCAGACAGTACGAATGCATAGCCACTATTTCGAATTTGAAATCTGTTCTTATATCCTATACTTATCCATAAGCTACTAACTAGAAGTTTCTACGAGAAAGGAAATATTTACTTAATCCAAACTACTTTTAGATTTCATTATATTATTTCGTATGTTTCGGATAGCTTATAGGTTTCATAGTCGCAGGCAAGGAGACATAGACTGGGCTCCCCTCCACGATCTTCCCGAGAGCTGAGCCCCTGGCGTTGTTGATGTCCAAAGCAACCTTAACCACTCGCTTTGAAGTGAGCTGTATGCTCATCATCAGAAACAGCCAAAAAAGATGTGTGGTGTCGTGGGACACCGGATAGGAACGAAGTTCCTTATTATAAAACTATTAATTTTAAGTTCTATTCTAGGTATAAAGAAAATAAAACTGGAGGTTTCGCAACAACCCACGGTCATTCGGTAACGTGCGAGCTTATTGTGGTACACTTCATTCACGGTTGTTTGCTTCAGAGTTGCGCAAACGAACGCTCTGAGATCGTGGTCAATGAATGATAAATAAATATGTCATTTTTTGTACGTTATTACAAAGTTAAGTCGTACACCGCGTGCATTACTAATTTGTACGTTATTACAAAGTTAAGTCGTACACTGTGTGCATTATGAATAAAAATCTTACGTTACGGACGTTTTTTCCCGGTTAGAGTACCGCATCGTCCCATAAGGAACTTCGTTCCAAAAACCGAAGATAATACTATACTTACTGCAGTCATGTACCCGCCGTCTCTGTAGCGGAACCAGAAGTAAGGCAGCACCGGCGCGTCGTTCCTGTTGAGTCTCTGGGCCTCCTTAACTCGACCTCGGATCATCCGGGACAGTTGGGATGACGTCAGGTCCCGTGAGCTGTATATTGAGGGGTACAGAGCGGTGCTCTCTGACCACAGCCAATGTAACCTGGAAAGGATAATCAAATCTGTGTAGACTGAATGCTACCGGCAAGTTGCAAGCGTGTCTAAGTCGCGGTGTTGGGACGAACATTCTCATCCTAAAAATCGTCTCTTTGCCTCTTCCTGTCCTTTAAGAGTTCCATCTAGCTTTGAGACCGCATCGACATATACCCCTTCACTGTCCATATGCAGTGTAACTACACTGAGACCTTAGAACTCATATCTCAAGGTGGGTGGCGGGATATTTTTTTGTAGATGTCTATAGGCTCCGGTAACCAGGTGGGCTGTGAGTTCCAGTAATTCCACCAATTAATGCAATAAAAAAAATGCTTGGCTTGATGATTCGATGATTTATTTTCATTAAGCCATTGTGGAAATTAGTGAATAGGCAATTTCAATCTCTACTAGTCTATGATGGATGAATTTCTGCGCCTTACCTATCATTTTCTTCAGGAACCTTTTCCGCGCAATTCTCCTTCATGTTGTTGCTGGCCATGTTGAAACAGTACGGGAAACCGTAGTATCCCCACTGCGCGTTAGGCCTCATCTCTTTTGCCACTAAGAGCGTCCTTTGCATGAAGGTCCGCGCTGATTCTTCAAAGCGTTGTATTGCCTGCAAGCATATGAATACTTTTATTACTAAAACATTATTTACGGTCTAGAAATATTTGCCATAGTTCATAGAAAGGCCTATTAGACTCGCCGCTGTAGTGAGCAAATCTCTTGCAGTAACGTCAACGATGAAAACATGATCGGTGAAAAGATTCAGTTACTGGATAGTAATATATTGGTAGTAGGCAATGCGAGTTGTTTTAATGTCACGCGTGGTCTGTCCGGTAAATCCGAAAGAGGAAACAGATTTCGCTATTTTATCATTAGTAAATTTTTTACTGCCATGACAAAGAGAGACAATAATACATCTGAGCAGATCGATGTTAATAGATTAGAAAAGCTAGGAGCGCAGTTGAGTTTGCTACTTAATTGTTATCTTTTAAGTTCAAAGGATCTTACACACATCTTATACCTTTATACCCTTATCTTATACCTTTAAACGAGCAATTCTTTAATCTGAATCTCGGAAACGGCTCCAACGATTTTCATAAAATTTAGTATACAGGGGATTTGGGGGAGATAAATCGATTTTCAATTTATTTTCAGAAAATGTTGTTTTATTCGTGTTTTCAATAATCAACTTCATCGATAATCAACTTTGTGCCTTTTCCCGACATCTATTGGTGAATAATAATACTATTTTTACTGCTTTAAAGACACAACAAGATGGCGTTATAAAAAAAAATCGGTCATCATCTACTTTTAATTAAGGGTTACGACTATTTGAACTAGGCCATCTAAATTTATCACCGTTCCTTCATTAATCTTCCGTAGTAAAAAGCTTTACTTAATTACAATTCGACTATGCTACTAGTGCCTGTGTAATTGGTCGGTCCAATGTGTATCGGTGTATAGACAAAATGTGACGAAAACCTAAATTGCCCTAACAATAATTTTAACTCTAACACTTTACGGAACGACATTCCATGAAAGATTTCGTCTTGGTAACAACGCTTCTGATACAGGGTGTTGCTATTCGGAAACCAGGCTAGATAGACTCTTCTGCTATCGACTTCCATTTGATGGCATATGAAGAGTGGATTCTGAACTCCATGCCATTAAATTCTTACTATTGACGATCGGGATTGGTGGTTCTTTGATGCGGTACCACTCTAGCCTTGATTGTAGCAGCAAAACGCCAAACACAAGAACAATCTGAATGTTCTCTTTGCCTCAACCACATTTGTTGGTGATAAGAGCTATGCAAACTATTACCAACGATTACTAAATATCGAATTCGTTTTTAATCCACTCCACAAAAAGTGGGAGGTTCTCAATTCCATTTTTTTTATGTGTCCAAAACGTTTTTCTAGATTATTCGATTTTGAGGATTTTATTTGAAGGATGGTTCTTGTCATGTGGTCTAATCTATCAAGATCTGACTAGTAGTTTTGACTATCCTTAATAATGTAATTTGTTACGCCGGTAAGAATAACGCCATCTATCGCCGAATATCCGAACGAATATCGGAGGCTCTAGTAACATCTAGAACGCTCGAGAAGTACAACGCCATCTATTGTCACATAGCGGAAAAACACATCGAAGATACTCGACTTGTGAGGAATGTTCCCGATGAATCTAGGGATGTCGTATCGACTATAAAAGCGTTGCAGAGGTGGCACGAAGCAGTAATGAGGTAACCAGGTAATCAGTAACGGAGAGTTAGTAATCGGAACTACTCGAAGCGAAACAGCGAACTGATCACCTGAAGCGAAGCGGAAGAAGCGAATTGAGAATTTTAAAGTGCTCGTTAAGTGTTCTAAGTGCTAATACAGTTTTCAGTTGTACTTTGGTGGAACATTTATCTATCCCGAACCCCAGCGCGTAACAAAATTTAAGTGTCTTTTACTACATTGATAATAATATTACGTTACTAAGTTACAGCCCGTTTTCCCTGTGTTAACATTTTTGTTTTATTAAAGTTTCTGAATACCGAAATCACAATTGAAGCGATTCAATGATGCGGCGCTCCAGATATCCGGGCCCTCGGTCACTGATGCAAGTTAGCGCGCCCTAAATACTTGCATTGGTTTCATTTATATCAGTGAATCTTAACTGGCTTCATTTGTAGCGGTGCATTACATTCGATTTAATAATTCGGCCACAACGAAACCGTGTTATGAAGATCGGAATGTGTTAGGCAATAAGTACGATTGTGTATATTAAAAGTCGTTGTGGCCTAAAGGATAAGACGTCCGGTGCATTCGTGTTGAAGCGATGCACCGGCGTTCGAATCCCGCAGGCGGGTACCAATTTTTCTAATGAAATACGTACTTAACAAATGTTCACGATCGACTTCCACGGTGAAGGAATAGCATCGTGCAATAAAAATTAAACCCGCAAAATTATAATTTGCGTAATTACTGATGGTACGACCTCTTGTGAGTCCGCACGGGTAGGTACCACCGCCCTGCCTATTTCTGCCGTGAAGCAGTCATGCGTTTCGGTTTGAAAGGTGGGGCTGTTGTGACTATACTGAGACCTTAGAACTATATCTCAAGGTGTGTGGCGCATTTACGTTGTAGATGTCTATGGGCTCCAATAACCACTAAACACCAGGTGGGCTGTGAGTTCGTCCACACCTCTAAGCAATAAAAAAAAAAAAACTCGTATATGAAAAGAATCCGGTGTCGTAATGATTAAGACGTTTGTCGTGTACGTCACTGTGCTTAGTGTGAGCTTTTTAACTTTCCGATCGCGTTAAAAGTTAACTCAAAAACTACTCGACTGTCAGTTATGAGGTCGAATCGTGTTGTATAATGTTTGTCCCAGCTTTGAACCGGGTCCCAACAGCTGCAGACCATCAATTCCCACAAATCCCGTGTAGCCTTAAGGCACGGAAATCTCGTATGAGGAACCTCTTGGGACCTCTGGGTCTGCGGAGGGACTTCGGTTCCCTCTGTATTCTGTACCGTATGTTCCATGGGGAGTGCTCTGAGGAATTATTCGAGATGATACCGACATCTCGCTTTTACCATCGCACCGCCCGCCACCGGAGTAGAGTTCATCCATATTACCTGGAGCCACTACGTTCATCCACAGTGCGTTTCCAGAGATCATTTTTGCCACGTACCATCCGGCTATGGAATGAGCTCCCCTCAACGGTGTTTCCCGAGCGCTATGACATGTCCTTCTTCAAACGAGGCTTGTGGAGAGTATTAAACGGTAGGCAGCGGCGTGGCTCTGCCCCAGACATTGCTGAAGTCCATGGGCGACGGTAACCACTCACCATCAGGTGGGCCGTATGCTCGTCTGCCTATACGACAATAAAAAAAAAGGACAAAGGTACGGCCCAAAGCCCAATACGTCCTATCACCATTAAATGCCGTTTGATGACCGCGGTGTTCTAGCATACCACCACCACTCACAGAACGTTCATACCCATCTTCTGGTTAATACTTTTGTGGCCTTCTAAGCTACCGATGGAAAGAAATGAGTTGGAGATATTCTAGGTAATTCCACAGCCATTATGTTTGGATAGATAAAAGTTACACACGTTGTATTAATAACTAGCGGCCCGCTCCGGCTCCGCTCGGGTATTTAACAAATATTTCAACGATATTTGACGTTGTTTTATTTTTTTTAATAAAAGAACATATAGCCGCATAACTACAATAGTTAGACATAATATGTTGTCGCGACATTTTTTGTAAATAATAATGTGTTCTACAAAGTCGTATTTTATTCTATCGTCAATAGTTTTTGTAGGGCACGCGACGTAAAAATATGCTAGGTAGTTTTTTTACACCTTGGGTTACATTATTTGAGTTCTAGTAAGGATCACAATTTTTTTTTAAAAAGCTTAAAGCCTGTTACTCGGGAATAGTATAGCTTCCAAACAGTGAAATAATTTTTCAAATCGGTTCAGTAGTTTCTGAGCCTATTCAATACAAACAAACAAACAAATATTTCTTATTTATAATATTAAGTATAGATTTCACAATTCCCTAAGCCGCAATGGACGGCGGACAAAACTTGGGGATCAACAACAATGAGAAATTTCGCAGTTTTCCGTGCATGCTGTAGTTAAAATAGAAGAAAAGTACTGCTGTCCATACTAACCTCAGTCTGCACCCATTGCTTGGGCCACCACCAGTGAAGTTTCTTTTCTATCTCATACGACACGTCCTTGTACGGGACTAAAGCGCCGAAGTTTTGCCTGAAGATCGGCCGCCAGGATTCGAAATCGATAATGCCGACTCCTAGAACGTGAAAAGCTACAATTAAAGAATGTTTTCGAACCAATCCCGAAGCCCGAATAAGAATATAGTTGGTTTTTAGACCAAGAGTCAGCTATACACGCCGTCTGGTGTAGTGGTAAGTGCCATGGTCACCACACAAGGGAGAGGCTTCGAATCCCGCCAAGGGAAGATATTTGTATAATAAATATAAAATGTCTTTTCCAGGGTTATGGATGTATATTAAATATATGTATGCGTGTAATAAAAATCTTACATTTATATCCGTTATCTGGTACCTGTAACACAAGTTCTTTACGAACTTATCACAAGACCAGTTAACATGGCGTGATTGTTAGTAAATATTTATTATTTATTATTATTTATACATTTTGTGGACATCGACAACCAAGCGAATGCCAAGAGAGGGTGTTGGATGTAGTTCAGCTTAATTTTTTTTTTTTTTCTTAGATGGATGGACGAGCTCACAGTCCACCTGGTGTAAAGTGGTTACTGGAGCCCATGGACATCTACAACGTAAATGCGCCACCCACCCTGAGATATAAGTCCTAAGGTCTCAGTATAGTTACAACGGCTGCCCCACCCTTCAAACCGAAACGCATTACTGCTTCACGGCAGAAATAGGCAAGGTGGTGATACCTACCCGTGCGGACTCACAAGAGCTCCTACCACCAGTAAAAAAGGAGACCTCAAAGGAGTATGTTATGGCGGAAGAGGCTATGCGTAGCAATCATCTACTAATTTCTAAAACTGACAGAGTTTCACACAGTGAGGCTACTTCACACTGCTGAGCTTAGAAGCACAAAAAGGCACACCAGCTATATGAGCAAGCAATGTTTTTACTCGCGCCAAATATACGTCTATAAACTAGTTTAATAAAATATTAATATTTGATCAAAGGAATATCGAATTCCGTGACTTGCGAAGCCGTTGACCCCTGCACAACAGTTTGTGGTCCATTACTGTCAGTAATGTACCAGGTATCTTTAAATCTTTTTTGTACCTTTAGACTTTCAATATGTTATACTTATAAACTTATAAAAATTACAATAAACTAACTCATAAACATTCAATATTTATAGGCAGGCATTTGCGAGGTAGTTAGACTATTTTGGTGGACATCGACTCGGCTGTGTTTCTAGCTTTTCTGACGTACATACACAAGCAATGGAGACCCCACACCATCATGTCAGCCGTATACTCCTGTATTATTTTTTTATTGCTCGGGTGGATGGATGACCTCACAGCCCACCTGATGTTAAGTGGTTACTGGAGTCCATAGACATTTACAACGTAAATGCGCCAACCACCTTGAGATATAAGTTCTAAGGTCTCAGTATAGTTACAACGGCTGCCCCACCATTTCAAACCGAAACGCATTAGTGCTTCACGGCAGAAATAGGCAGGGCGGTGGTACCTACCCGCGCGGACTCACAAGAGGTCCTACCACCAGTAATTACGCAAATTATAATTTTGCGGGTTTCATTTTTATTACACGATGTTTATTATTCCTTCACCGTGGAAATCAATCGTGAACAGTTGTTGAGTACGTATTTCATTAGAAAAATTGGTACCCGCCTGAGATTCGAACCCGATGCATCGCTCAACACGAAAGCACCGGACGTCTTATCCGTTAGGCCACGACGATTTCAAAATCGACTTCAAAAACTATCTCCCGAAGCAATAAAAAAATCTTATTAATTTAACACGTGTGGATAGCTTGATAAATGAATATTGCTTTGTGCTTATTTAAGGGTAGTCGTATATTTTCGATCTGCCTCAGAGTGTCGTCTATTAACGCTCTTTAAATTTCAAGTTCACAGAAAGGTCTTCAAGTAATTCCTTTGTTTACAGTTCTTATCAATCTGCTAGGTTATTTCAAATCGAACGTACTGACTAACAAATTGCGAGATCAAAAGCTATCTTATCAAAATGTCTTTCTCAGTCAGCTGTTTTCAATCGAGACCAATGACACAATAAATATTTCTGTCAGATTCGTTTTTATCTTACAATGATAGACCGCGATATGTAGACTTTTGTGTCTTATCCTAAAAGCCATGACGACAACTGATTTTTTTTAATATCTGCGAGTTACATTTTTTATCTTGTTATTCCTTCTTAGAAGACAGGTAGGCAAGCTTACTGGTTACTGCTGGTACTTATTATTGATGGTAGGACCTCTTGTGAGTTCGGACGAGAAAGTACCACCACCCTACTTATTTCTGTCGTAAAGCAGGAATACGTTTCGGTTTGAAGGGTGGAGCAGCCGTTGTAACTATACTGAGACTGAATATACTTTGAAGTCATCGTGGCCTAAAGGATAAGACGTCCGGTGCATACGTGCTCAGCGATGCACCGGTATTCGAATCCCAGGCGAGTACCAATGTTTCTAATGAAATACGTACTCAACAATTGATGTTCACGATTGACTTCCACGGTGAAGGAATAACATCGTGTAATAAAAATCAAACCCGCAAAATTATAATTTGCGTAATTACTGGTGGTAGGACCTCTTGTGAGTCCGCACGGGTAGGTACCACCATTCCGGCTATTTCTGCCATGAGCAGCAATGCGTTTCGGTTTGAAGGGTGGGGTAGCCGTTGTAACTATATTGAGACCTTAGAACTTATATCTCAAGGTAGGTGGCGCATTTACGTTGTAGATTTATTGGGCTCCAGTGACCACTTAACACCAGGTGGGCTGTGATCTCGTTCACTCATATAAAAAACAAAAAAAAAGTACTGTGTCACATTACGTACTATTTACTCAAAAGATATCTTAACAGACAATGTTAATGACATTATTAATGTTCCGATTACCGCGTACTTTTACAGTGTAAGCCAATAATATTCCAAAGATGTGCAGTGTATCTTTCAACACGTCCCAGGTGCATCTTTTCCAAACAATGAAAATTTCCGAGATAATATTTGCGGAAGATAACGCACGCTCTCATTGTTTTTGAACAATGGATTCGGATTATTGTAATCAATGCTGAAGCTGATGATGGACGCTTTTTATTTTAATAATTCGGAGCGGACGGTTAGCGTGGTATGGACTTGTGATGCGTAGAGAGAAGATGCATGTGACTAGGAGATGTACGGAAATGGTAGTGCAAGGTAGAGGGGGAAGAGGTCGACCGAAGAAGACATGGATGGAGTGTGTGAATGACGATATCAGAGAGAGAGGAGTGAGTGTTTAGATGACGGTTGATAGAAGAGAATGGAAGAGAAAAATTAGCTGTGCCGACCCCACCTAGTAGGATAAGGTGGAGAAAAAAAAAGAAGAATTTGTTTGTATGATTGTCTGTAAAAAGTCGTGACCGTTGTGAATATCTGACCCCAATACAGTTAATCTTAAGGTTTCAAACGAATTAAACAGATGCTAATGTTTTGGTAGAATCTGACAAGTACTACTCTTGTTTGGGCAAATGTTAGTAAATTCCTTCAGGCTCTGTAAACTCGCTCACCAGTTAGAGACAAGCCAAACTTGTAATTGGTGGCTACTCATAGATAGGTACACGATAAACAGATATTCGCCCTAAGTCTTCTGTGTATTAAAATTAAAATACCACTCACCACTAAAATCTTCGTCAGGTACGCATTGCACCAAATTCCTCCTGAAAACTTCCAAATGCTTCGCCAAGTCGCCCTCCTGTGGTACTCCTCCGTTGCGGAATATTATCTGACCGCTGGTTTCGTTGGTGAGTAGTGCCGGGAAAAGCCCGGGATCGTACAGGATAGAGACGGCCTTTCCCAGGAAACTGTCGTTTTCGTTCTGAAGTATCCCGAACTTTTCGAACAGATCTTCGAACGGGATCTTCTTGCTTCTGCACTGCATTGTTGGCACGTTCCAGTAGACGTAAAACGGTTTTTTCGTTTCAAACGTTTGGTCTTCTGTCATTTCAACGACGAAATAGCTGCGGAAGAAGTTTTAACACAAGTTAGACCGGATAGAGCAAGAGCCCGCGACGGCCAGACCTTCGTTATTTTATAAAAGCTGAAAGTTTCTCTGTGTATGTCTCCAACACAGGTAAGAACGGCCCGCGACTATAGAGTTTCGATTGTGGTTACTTGGGCGGGTAACAGGCAGTAAAGGTATATAAAATAGTACCTTAAATTCGTTAAAGTATAAAGTTATGTTTTCGCGGGTCGTTCTTACCTGTGTTGGAGACATACAGAGAGAAACTTTCAGCTTTTATAAAATGACGAAGGTCTAGCCGTCACGGCCTCTTGGGCTATGAGGCTAGATGGTCAAATATGATAATCCTGCCCGTTATTGTTTAGAAACCGCGCTTGAAGGAAATGTCATTCACATTGGGAACACCATGGAGGGAATATTATTTCAAAACCGGTTGACGCGTGGCCTTGACGCGGAATAACGATGGATGCTTTGGTCGTAAATTCCCTTACTACCAGGAACAGCAAGGTTGGCTCTGGTCAGGTAGCGTATGGTGCGACGGTAAAACAAAAAAAAGGTGATGGAATCATCTCAAACAAAAGTTTTGGACCCAAAATGTAATATTGGATAAATAACAATGAAAGATGGTTTACAGATTCATCATCGATAGAGTATGAGAATGTAAGCATCATGTAGAGATCTTCCGACTACGTCACTACCTTTAAATATTAATCGACGCTACTTAAATTTTTCTTGATAATATTAATTATATCGTATCGTATTACCGACCAGACGCTGAGTGAGATATAAAAACAGTTGTTACCGGTAAAGGTTCTGTCACAGCACACGTGTACTGGCAATGCTATGATTTTTAAATAACACCAGCTTTTGCCCGCGACTTCGATAGCGTGGAATAAATAGTTCACAAATAATGCTTTATTTTATAACAAATTTGGTTAGCATAAAAAAACGTTATAGTGAGCCAACCTTAACATACAGTCATATGCAGTCACGGCCTTTTTTTAGATCTTTTAAAGTGGAAAAACCCTGTCATACATTATTTTAGCAAAACTTTAATCTTTTCTGCAGCGCACGCAGCGGAAGCTCTCAAAAGGAAAAAAAATAGATAGCTAGACGAGCAAATGATCTACTTTGTACTCAGAGCTGTTTGTCGTTCAGTGCTATCATTTTGAATCAGGCATCAACATTTAAAGATCCGTAGCTTAATCGGCGAAGCGGCCAATGCATTCTTTCTAATGCAATTTCCCTTTTGACCATGCCTCTCTTGCACATCTCTCTCTCTTTTACAAGCAATATAGACCATGACGTAAGTTCAGGACCCAACTTCAAAGACCTACGGTGGGTTAGAAACGATTCTGGGGTGCACAGAAGCAGATATCACCTTTGAGATCACCTCAATAATGTAAGAGGCTTTACGAGACCTCACCGTCTTGACATTAATCGAATTCCGGATTAATTGAGTTGATAGCCGCGGTAAGTTATCGAGTTTCCACATTACCACTTAATGGTACGTAATAGCGAAAAAATAAGCTCAATAAAAACAATGTTGATATAATATGTGTGCTATAAACAAACTCCATGTGTTTTCTGTTTCCACAAGGTCAACAGGCCTTAGCAACGGCTAAAAACCTGAACGATGTGCGATTTTGAGACTCAGACCTCATGTCTCAAGCGAGATGTCTTCAGGTTGAGGTGCATATGGGCTCCGATGACCGAATCAGACAATGAAGGCAAGTTTCTATTGGCCGTTATTAAATAATTCGGTTTGAAGGGTGGGGCAGCCGTTGTAACTATACTTGAGACCTTAGAACTTATATCTCAAGGTGGGTGGCGCATTTACGTCGTAAATGTCTATGGGCTCCAGTAACAACTTAGCACCGGGTGGGCTGTGAGCTCGTCCACTCATTTAGCAATAATAAAAAAAAAAATATCATCAAAATATCTTTCTGGTATAGCTATTAATGTGACATCAACTTTAATTGATACGTCGATCCTCGTTAGCGTTTACAGTGATTCTGTTCCACTTACCATCAATTAGCGCCTACACTTAGCCACCCACACGTTACGTAATTGTGCAAGGTCATTGCCTCTGTGTACACGAATTGCGTTCGAAGAGTTGTTTTGGCTGTATTATTTTTTAAGGAGAACAGAAAACGACTAATGCTCTGTCAGAAGATACTGATCGATTTATTTTATTTATTTCTTTCTTTATTACCAATATGGTGCTAATCTTCCTAATGAAAGACGTACTTAACAAATGTTCAGGGTTGACTTCCACGGTGAAGGAATAATAACATCTATACTATCTATACTAATATTATAAAGAGGAAATATTTGTTTGTTTGTTTGTATTGAATAGGCTCCGAAACTACTGAACCGATTTGAAAAATGACGACGCTTGCAGCTGAAAGTAAGTATTGTACTTTTTGACGAAGCATGTTGCTGATAACTTTATTTCTGTAATCTGACGAAGCATGTTGCGGATAATAACATGTACTTTTAGGTTAGGAATATTGTGTTCTTTTTTTTTATAATAAATAAATTTAATTTTTAGTAATTAAAAAAAAATATTTGAAAAATTCTTTCACTGTTTGGAAGCTACACTATTCCCGAGTGACAAAGGCTATAATCTTTTTTGAAAAAAATTTGGGATCCTGACTAAAACTCCAATATAATAACTCAAGGTGTAAAAAAATTACCTAAATTATTCTTTACATCCCGTGCCCTGCGAAATACTATTGATAACAGAATAAAATAATGTACTACGGCTTTATAGAACAAATTATTATTTGCAAAAAGTGTCGCGACAGCATATGTTTAACTATTATAGTTATGCCGCAATATGTGTTCTTTTGTTTAAAAAATAAAACAACGTTAAATATCATTGATTTTTTTTAAAGACCCGAGCGGAGCCGGAGCGGGCCGCTTGTCGTGTAATAAAAATCAAAGCCGCAAAATTATAATATGCGTAATTACTGGTGGTAGGACGTCTTGTGAGTCCGCACGGGTCGGTATCACCACCCTGCCTATTTCTGCCTGTGGGGCAGCCGTTGTAACTATACTTGAGACATTAGAACTTATATCTCAAGGTGGGTGGCGCATTTACGTTGTAGATGTCTATGGGCTCCAGTAACCACTTAACATCAGGTGGGCTGAGAGCTCGCCAACACATCTAAGCAATAAAAAAATACATAGTAATGTCTATGATCAAGTTTATGCGTACCTGGGTGATGGAGGTCAAGGTCACACTTGTGGCCAGCGAAGCCCGCATACGTGGTGCTTAGTAGAAGCTTTGTTTGTAGTTGGAACTGAACTGTTACTGGTTCAGTACCATCAACTTAGACAGCTAGACGTGGCCGATTGAATATCATCACATTTTGTCAAATCATATTTTGTTAACCAGCTAACATGAGTCACTTATACTAACGTTTTCTCGTATGATAATGAAGAGAAATTCAAGTTATTGTCATAAAAATGAGCGGTGATTTAGAAAGCTTAAAAATTTCTAATAACTAGTTTCAAGTTTATTGATGAGCGACAATTTTATTTGTTAAGAGAGTGAGGGTTTTTTTATGATTGAAATATTACTGGTGGCCCGGAGGCCTTTCCAGTTTCAACAGGACAGGTGGGCGAGCAAAGCTTCAGCCAGGAGGGGTGGGATTTGCTAACAATCCCGATGCTGCCCGAGTGCCTCCGAAGGAGACCTAACAACTCAAGAGCAGTTGCTTCGCGAATGAATCTACTACCGGATTGGAATCGCGACCCGCTGAGAAGATCCGGCGAGAAACTCAGCGGGCTGATGCATGGGTTAGGTTGCACGTCGACCTCTTTGTCGAGTTCGACGAGTACGGTTACCGGGGTCCCTAAGTCTGCTCCTTAGAGCTGAAGACGTTTAATGCAAAGGTTATCTGATGGATCCGCAAGGACGTGGTGAGTGAGGTATGACGGTAGGTGAGCTCACAGGATATTTAGCTTTAAGTTACTATCGGCATCCTTTTTTTTTTTTTTTTTTTTTTTNACTGGTGGCCCGAAGGCCTTTCCAGTTTCACCAGGACAGGTGGGCGAGCAAAGGCTCAGCCAGGAGGGGTGGGATTTGCTAACAGCTGCCCGAGCGCCTCCGAAGGAGACCTAACAACTCAAGAGCAATTGCTTCGCGAATGAATCTACTACCGGATCGGAATCGCGACCCGCTGAGAAGATCCGGCGAGAAACTCAGCGAGCTGATTCATGGGTTGGGTTGCACGTCGACCTCTTTGTCGAGTTCGACGAGTACGGTTACCGGGGTTCCTAAGCCTGCTCCTAGTGTTAGAGCTGAAGGCGTCCAATGCAAAGGTTATTGGATCTGATGGATCAGTAAGGACGTGGTGAGTGAGGTATGACGGGCAGGTGAGCTCACAGGATATTTAGCTTTAAGTTACTATCGGGATCCATCCCATCATAGCATGGATAACGCCTCCCGCCTTGGGACAAGCGGTGGAAGTCTTCAACGGTGTGGTATTACCGCTGTCAGTTAAAGGCAGAATGGTTGCGTTATGGTATCTAAAATATTTTTTATTTTTATTGCTCTTGTAGGCAGACCAGCATACGGCCCACCTGATGGTGAGTGGTTACAGTCGCCCATGGACGTTAGCAATCCCAGGGGCAAAGTCAAGCCGCTGTCCCTGAAATCGCTACATTTTGTGCTTTTTTGTTTTATAGTTAGCCAATGACACACACACGCACACACGCACACACACGCACACGCGCACACACACACACACACACACACACGCACACACACACTTTCGTATTTAAATCTTTGTGTCATTCTAATTCAAAACTAAATAGAATCACTGATTTATTTATTTGGTTTCAAATAGATAAAAAAAAACTAATCTTAATATTTGCGGTTGGCTTATCAGTTCACGATGAAGCTCGCGTCAGGGTTCAGTTTTTATCTTTTAGAAAACTTAATTTAATCTATATATATAAAAATGAACTGCTGTTCGTTAGTCTCGC